AAATTACGCTTCCACCAACTCGTAACCTCCCTTTCCCTCACGGACAAAACACACCCCTCCATCACTCCCTCCTCGCAGTGTCACCCGGGACTGACAGATCGCACAGTTTCTGACACTGCTCGTCACTCTTGACAGATCGCACAGTCCGGAGTCGCATTACAGTGCAGAGAACTGTATAAGTAGACGTAGGACGGAGCGACGATGAGTAAACGAAGGTACGAGTTTCTTGTTCTAGCAAACCACACACCACACCACCTCCCACCTCCCCCACTACCCACCACCTCCATCACCATCCACCACCTCCACCACCATCCACTACCTCCCCCACCATACACAACGTCCCCCACATTCTCCGACCCCGAGTCCATGGCTCTATCGAATAAGTTACAGTGTTGATTTCCTCAATTCACCAGAATTGAGGCCGACTACCTCACATAATCTGGAACGCACTGAGATGGTATCTGCATATACAAAGTAGTATGAATTAGGTCTCGTGCAGCAACTCTAAGGAATAAAAACACATAACTTCAACAGTTCTGACATCTACTATGACTGTCGGTCATCTCAAAGCATGACATGCATGAGCTACCCTGCCCTTATATATTGTGGTGATTTCTTCATATGACTCTCAGTCATTCGTCCCTCACGTCGTTGGCCAACGGCATCTCCCTTTTTGCTCAGTGGTCATCACATATATACGTAGGCTAAGTACGTTACTGTACCGGCAACAGTTTCCGTTTCGAAGTATTCGTCTCAATGATATTGCTGCACTTGTATCTTCGCTTTCATTTCCGTCCGCCCCGTCTCTCTAAAGAATGAGACAGTTCATCTCGATTATGCCGCATTTGGCAACACGTGCCGGTGGACCTACTCTCGGGACAAGTCTGTTTCTTTAACGCCGAGCAAAAGAACTGCTGTGATTCATCCCTCACATCACTTTTCGCTTTCCAATGCATGCGTCACCTACAGAAGTCGTGCTTTCATTCCGGCATCCCGTCGCTCCCCATCTCTCCCGCCAACTCTACACTCCCGTCTCAGAAAACCCTACTCGCCACCATCCTCCAACAAGCCATTTACCTAAGCACAAAAATTCATCCCCACCATCAAAACCCCTCTCAGCGCAGCTCTACAATCATTGGAATCCCCTCCTCCTGCCCGGTGCTCTTATTCAGGTACCGCGGGAGATCGACAAGGTTGGACCGGGTGACCACCTCGTCCTTCCCACACGCGAGCCGAAACTTGAACCGTCTATGCAACTCTGCGATAATCAATTGGCCCTCATATTCGGCATGGAACCTGCCCACACACTTTGTCTTCCATAAGCCGAACGCTGCGTCAGCCCCGAACGGCACGCGCTCCGCCTCGACGCCGCGGCCGCCCCAACGCTCGGGCCTGAACTCGTCGGCCTTGCTCCAGGTGCCGGGGTGCGTCTGCATGCGCCTGACGTACCCGTACACTTTCGTGCCCTTGGGCAGGCGCACCCCGCTCCCCTTGAGCGTCACGTCCGCCGTCACCGCGCGCCCCATAAGCCCGCTGCTGGGGTGCAGCCGCGTGCTCTCCTTTCAGACGTTCCGCACGTACTCAAGGGTATCCACCTCCTCGAACGACAGCATTTCGTCGGCGTCCTTGCTGCCAGACTTGCGCGCAAGCTCCTCATGCACCGCCTCGCGCGCGCGCGGCACGCAGCACGTCTCGTACAGGCTCCACACGATCGTCTGGCCGGTGGTGTACGAGCCTACGAGCGCAAACTCCACGACGAGCGAGGCCAGGACTTGCTCCGGGAACTGGTCCAGGCTCAGGATGGTGTCCAGCATGTCGGGTGCGCGCGCTTCCTTGCCAGCGCAGGTCTCCGCCAGGGGGCGCTGCACAAACTGGTTGCACGTGGAATAGATGCGCTTCTTGCACGCAAACAAACGGGCGCGCGAGCCCGCCCACTCTAACGCCGCGCGTATCGAGTACTGCATGTGCTTCACCATGAGTTCCTCGACGAGGATGTCGAGGTCGGTGGCGAACTTGAGGCAGTCGTCCGGAGAGAAGGCGCCGCCGAAGGCGACGTTGAGGAGGACTATAAAGGCGGTGGACGAGAGGAGGATGGAAATGTCGACGGGCTTGCCTGCGGCGGCGGCGCAGCGGAGGACTTCGAACAGGGTGGCGACGGGGCGTTCCATGGCGGGTGGAAGCCGCGGAGCATGGGGTGGTTAAAGTTATTTTGCAGGGCAGCGCGCACGACGCGGTGCGGCGCGTACGACATGGTGAAGATGCCGCCCTGGAGAGCGAGGTCGAAGAGGGGGCGCACGCGGGGCGGGAGCGGAAAGGGGCGGGTGTCGGAGGTGATTTGGACTATGTCGGCCAGGTCGGCCGTGAGGACGACGCGCGAGAGCCCCAGCCACAGGGCGAAGACGTCGCCGTGCGTGCGCGAGATGGCCGACAGGCACTCTGTGAGCATGTTCGGGTTGGCCTGGAAGGGGCGCAC